GCCGGGCGCGCCGTACTACCGCCCCGGATATTTTTTACGTACGCAAACTTTCCCGATATCCTGAACGGAAAATGTAAATCCGTTACCGGCATCGATCGTCCGTTCGTTCGCTCGACGCGCGCTCGCGTTCACAGCTGGCGCGGTGTGGACAACGCCTAACAAAGGTCCGGCGGACCTATGGACTATCCATTGTTGGTGTTACTTAGAACTCTAACCGATGTAGTGGACCATATGCGTTGTGCCTTCTGTATTCCGATCGAGGGGTGAGCGGGAGTCTCTGTAGACTTTATTTGTTAAAAATTTAATAATCAAGATAGTTGTGCTGAGTTATTGTAAAAATCAGTGTTGCCTTGCTATGTGTCTTTGCTTTTCGCGATAGACTTTATGAATAAACGGTGCTTTGTAGAATTTTTTGAAGTTATAAAGGAAGCTACTGTATATTGCAAGGATGATTGCGGAAATGGTAAGAAATTCTATTAGCATTTCTTTTTACAAATACATTTGTATAATCTATACTAATATTATAATGAGGAATTGTATTTTTGTACGTATTGAAATAACTCAAACACTACTTGGCCGATTTGGAAAGTTTTTCACGATTAAAGCTACGTTATCCGTGATTAACATAGGCTGTATTTTTACTATTTTTTAAAACCACACGGACGAAGTCAAGAGCAATAGCTAGTATTTTATAAATTCTATTTTAATTAGTTATAAAGAGTTATAAATGTTGCGAACATCTGGCATGTTGCGAAAGCCAATGTATGGAGCATTCGCGACATGTGGTCGCCACTCCTGGTACATTAGCGCATACCTAGTTTTTATGATAATATTTGAAACAATATCATACATTGAACATAATTGTAAAACAGAACAATGGTGTATTTTTTATACATTTTCATTCTAAAATTACAAACGGAATACATTTTTACAAAAAAAAATATTGTTATAAAGTAGGTAACTGCAGAGCAGATATTTCAAATTGTGTTGGAATTTCCCAATAGGGAACTCGCGCATATAGTTATTAAATAATTACAATGAAGTTGTACTTTTTTGTGTTATTTGAAGATGTAAAACATTTAATTATTTAAAAAAGGACATTTCAGTATAAATAAGAACAAAACAAACTTAAAATTTCGTTAAATAAAATGATTAAATTTCTAAAATAAACTACAATGACATTCTAATAAAGGGCGGAAATCGATTTTAGCGTAAAATTCGACATCAATTTCTACGAAAACTGGCAAATTAAGTTCCGTATACCATAAGCGGGTATTCGGACACAACGAGCTTTAGTCGTAAAATCGTGGGGGTTCGGGGCAAGTGAATCATACGAAATGTATCTCGACTTTCGCTCAATCAATGTCCTATGTATTTTTAATGATACTGAGTAATCTAGAAAACGTATCGATTCTTTGCGACTGTCATTTATTTAAAAGGATGCATTATTTGCTCAAACCATTAAGTTAATAGGCAATCAGAATTTATATGGTTCCAATCTATTCTACTGTAGTCAATCTTATCTACTCTAATAAATGGATCGATGGATGTTTACCGTTTAACTTTAACAAAATTTGGCACACATACAGAGTAAAGTCTAGAAAAATAAACATAGGATAGTTACTATTTTATTAAATACTCGAAAAATAACTCCCAATACAATATTTTGTTGCAATTATTCTCGTCTTACTTACGTCTTACATCTCACTGAATGAGAATTATTAAATGCTTTGTTCCAATTTCAACTACTAGATGTTTTCGTGATCGATTCTACAATGTTATTTATAGTAAGTATGAAGAAATGGGCTTGTAAGCTTACCATATACTTCTTTAGCCTAAATAATCTTTAACATCAGAGAAATAAAGAAAAATTTACAACAATATTGCGCTTCATCCTTATTAAAAATACTATGTTTGCTTACTGCAATCAAAATTAAAATTGCATTTACGTTTTATAAAGACAAGTATTTTACAAATACCATAAAATGAATTGTATTTCAATAGATAATGAGGTCATTATTGACCAAAACTAAAGCAGATAAGAACATTTTATAGTTTATTTACATTCGCCACGAGATTCTGGTAATTTTATCGGAAATTCAATGTTAATTCAATGTCAAATATATTAAGTGTTACGATAAAAAGATTTCTTTTGTTTCGTTGCTTCATATTTTTGCAATAAATGCGTATGTGTTTATTGTATTGCCTTAGCATAATTATATTATTATACATAGGTACTGTTAACTCTAAGTTAGGAGAGATATATTTATGTAAATGTTTATTTTTATTTCTTGACTTACACTTTATTTTAATCCTATACTAACATGGTTAAAATTTAACCAACAAAGGGCGATTTAATAATTTCCCCATTCACAGGAATTGCTATGACTCATAATTCTTTGAATTTCACCTTTAATGTAACAGTACAATAAGCCCGTTTTTTGTTTAATCCATTTTGATGTATCACTAGAAATCATGCTCAAAATTTGAGTTTTATTTAAAAAGATCTGTAGAAAGAAAACAAATGAAAATACATCAATCTTTATTGCTATAGATTTAGGTAACTGTGAGCAAGAAAAGAAAATCAATTAGCGAAATTTAAAAAGAAAACGCGAACGCTTGATTTAAAATTGGATTCATAACGTATTGTGTTTTGTTTTCTCCTAAGTCATGATCAGCACAGCTGCTGCCTCGAAGCGGGTTAGTTCATTCCCCTCGAAAAGTTATCATGCGATATTATACTTAATACACGAAAAATAAAGTCCCTTTTCATACTTTCCTTTGTAACCAATGCATATTTTAAAGCTTGAAACTATTGTAGGTTTTTGTTTAAGTTATATTTACATTCTTCATCTTGAATTTGCATTTTCACAAATTAAAAAACTTAAAAATACCAAAATTTATTTTTTTACTCGTTGTCTATCCCAATACTCTACGAGTTACTCTCTTTGAAATTCTCTTTCTATTAACGTATATAAAGGTAAAAAAAAATACTCGTTCATATATTTTTCATATTCATAGCAAAAATTACAACCGCAAGTAACAAATTGACGCGTACAAAAATTAATTTTCTATTGAAAAAAAATTTGCATTTCACCAGCTGGCGGTTACTGTCGGTAAAGGGCGTCGGGCCTCGAGGGAGTCGATGAACCGAGCGTTGTTAAGGCCATTTAAAACATCCGATTGTGGAAAGTATTAAAAAAAGAGACACGTTATTATAAAGTGAATTAAAATGTTTTGCTTCAAAAACATAGAGACAGGCGAGCAAATATAGTTTTAATCAAAGTATGGTTAAATAGAAGTCGTTTAGAATAACCAAATCAATCAAACTGGTCATTTAGCAATTAATAAAAAAAAAACTTACTTAGTACTAGTTATTTAGTCTCGATGTATGCTTTTAAATTATCAATTCATTAAGAAAATATAGTATTTACACTATTAGACTATCATGAAAATTAATGAGAAAGTCTTCGACATGTCGTTGACAAAATTTTTATTAGATTTATACAGCGCAACAAGCAAATCTCATAATTTTTTCGATGATGTTACAAATGCGTTCTCGCAACTGTTACGCAGATATTCGTTATGGATTCTCTAAACGTATTAAAACGAATTATCACTTTTAAATGCCGAATGAAGTGGTCTATTGGACTACGAGGCGAATGAATTAACGAATAAAACTCAAACGACAGTAACTGGGGGACAATCTATGTGTCATTAAATACAATAAAAAACTTAATTAAAGGCCACCGAGCTACATGCTAAGGGATCTCATTAAAAAATTCCACCCGACTGTTCTCTTGGCGCGTCAAATGTAAATTCATCTACTAAAGTATTAGCGCTTTCCCCAATGTTAGAGCATACCGTGCTTACAACTCGAAGAAAATAAAACACCCA